AAAAAAAAAAAAAAAATCCAAAAAGGAGATGCATAGGCAAAGAGTACCATGAATGGCACAGCTCAAAAAAATCTGGGACCCATCAGATACACATCTTTTCTCTGTCCTTCAATGAGAGGTCTATTTTGCCATCATATAACAATGACTTCTGAAGCAAGTGAGGGGCACCAGGTGTACAGCTAATTAAATCTTGCAAAATACTAAGATGGGGCAGGGGCGGCCAGAAAAAGGGGCAATTTATATATAATTCAAACTATATACAGCATAACTGGAATGCAGCCCATCCCAAACTGGCTTTGTGAAACAATTGGACCTTTATGATTTAATAGTTAAAATTATAACAAGTGTAATAATACAACAGATTTACATGGGAAGCAAAATCCAAGGGGCATTTTATATTAAGTATTTACTGTGTTGTTTCAATTTAAAAATAATTTTGCTAAGTATACATCTCAACTGCGGTCTATGTATAAAATGTCCTAATAGATACAGATATTTACCTTTGGTGAGTTGAAGGCCTTTTTGTGACTTCTGTCTGAATCACAGGCAGAATGCTAGATATACATGCACATGTGGGAAAACTCAAACTGAGGTAATCCAAAAGCTGTGCATGTGTGAGGAGACTGGAGGTACTTTGAAAGTCAAAGTATATCAGAAACCCAAAACACGTGACAGTGAGAATGGCAACAGGGAATGGAATGCCAATATGGCAGTAAAACTTTTTAAAAACAGAAAGAGGAAGGCCTCTCGTACCAGCAGAATCCTGCATACATACAAAAAAGAAAAAGCCACCCACCATTTCTTAAAACAAAAGCCAATTGTAGTGTGGGAAAGTACAAATTGCAGAAAACCAGAAGTCAATAGAAGAAAAACTACTGGTTCACATGAAAGGAGAGCATTGCATTCTGAGCAGTTACTTGGTGAATGCTGCCACCACGGCCCACAGAACCTCGTTGGTGTTGGCCTTCAGACATTCCACTTCAGGGTCTAAGTCGAGAAGCTGCCGCACTCTCTTGGTGGCTAAATCATACTGCTCATCCAGAAGAGGAGCAAAAGCATTCTCCAGGACATCCGAGGCATGGGCTAGGTAAATGAGGGCCAGCAAGCGCTTGTCCATGCGGTGAGGGTCATTGACCCATTTGTCAAGAACAGCTTCTTGTACTTTCTTGATGAGGCGCTGCTTAATGTTGTTGTTGGTGAGGGGATGTGTTGTCATGTCAAAAAGTAGGAAGTTCTGTTTCTCTGTTGTCAATACGCCCTTTTCCACCAGGTTTTTAGCTAATCGTTCCCGCACGTTTCTTAACTGATAATGCAATTTTAATGGATTCCACGTCTCACCTACACAAAAGATTTCAGAAATTAGAAATGACTGGTATTACCTGCTAATTTTGCAATAGTTTTGCACTGTTAAAATGAACAGTAAAATCTGACTCCCCCCACCCAAGAAATAAAAGAAAATCCAACAATGTTTTTCTCCCTGACTAGACCATGAACCCCCTAAACAGCCAGGCCTTTGGATTCTAAACACCTGGCACATTCTCAGGCACAGTAGTCACTCAGAAGACTAAACTGAAAGCAGTCTTCAAACCACAGTTACATTTAGTCTTATGTGAATGAGCCAATATTAAATTATGTTCCAGCCTCCCTCCAGCTATTGTCAAAAAGCAGCCAATAGCAAAATAAGAAGATTCTCTTCTGTTAAACAATAATCTGTAACAAATAGACAAAAGAAAAAAGCTTCCTAATTAATATACTATTCTTGAAATCACTAAATATACACAGCCTATAAAACGAAGAAAGCCTGTTTAGGCAATGCTATTCTTTGATAACAATATAAGGCTAATTCTCTGGAAGGACGAAAATTTCCACAATTTTAATCCTGCCATCTATGCACATTTCCTTTCAAGA